GTGTCCGCTTCAGTAAGCTTGGTGTCTGATGACACGGTCTCGTCCTTAATTACTGCCTCTTCTGTTTGCACAACGGCTGATGCTGTTGATGTGTAATATAACGCTGTAATGGCTTGTCATAATCACCAGCTTTGACGACCTGTTTGCCCACACACCAATGGAAATGGTCGTCTTTTATTGGTTGTTTTCATCTCTGGGGTTTTTTTTTGGGACTCCAATCAGACCTCATTGTTAGCATTAACCAATCCCAGAGTGATTCTACTAATCGCAGATGCAAATGGAAAAAACTGTATCGAATGGATGGATGAAAAGACATGGATAGCATTTAGTCATAGGTCAATTCTTGTACAATTTAAGATAGAAAGATTTTTGTAAGCTGTTGCATATTATAGAATAATTATCCTTGGTCAGCTATAGGATTGTGTTTCAGGACCCAGATTTAACACTGCGATGATCCGAGTCGCAACCCGACGCAGTATCAAACTTGTTTATTGTACAAAAGTAAACACAAATGTCCTTAAAATGTTTTCAGAAACTTTTAAATACATTTTAATGGTTTCATGCTCCCTGCGATGGTTTTCTTTTTTGTCATCAAAGATGCTTTCCATCATTTTGAGAGGAAAAAAAATATGCATCTGGACAAAATAATAAAATAACATGTTAGGTCTATAATATTTTATCAGATCGCAAGAGCACAGTCTGTTATTTCTCATATTATGAAAGCTCAAAAAAAAAATGAAATGAATGCTATATGATGAACTTTTTTCTGGTAAATAACCTTTTAATGTAAACTAGGTTTGTTCATTGTTAAAAGTTGTCACAATTTGTGTCAAACAGTTTTGGATAGATCAACTAAATCTACCTTTTTCTCATCACTATATTTTTCTTCTGTCATTCAAACCCTTAAAGGGCATATTGCAGGTTAGAGGACCCAACGAGTCAATGCATAGAAAAACAATGTAGGAACTAGATTTTCTTTAAAATATACGTATAAACACGCCACAGAAGCTTCTGCAGTCGTTTTTGTGAGAAAATGTTACTTCCGCGTCTGAAAATGGGCGTGGCGGGCGTGACGCAATGAGCGGGAGAGCGGTCGATTCACACAACAGGAAAACAATGGATCGCATGACATTTCAGACGCTGAGGAAATACACCAGTGGCGGAAATTTTGAATTTAGTAGATGTGATTTCCTGCATTCTGGTGCATTTTAGGCCTTAGGCCATGCCCTTACCTATACCATTAAAATAACTTAAACCAGTCAATACCAATGATCAAATAATACAATAATAATAATAACAGTTTGACAGTTAATGATAATGAACAAGTTGAATGTTTATTATGCTCTGTGTGCTGACAGAAAAAGTGCAAACGCATAATATTGATAAATTATAATATAGGTAATACAAAAAATAATAAGTAATACAACAATCTAGTTTAATCAATCCCCAGCTGTAGACTATATATTTTTGACAATTGGATAATGGATAACAATGTGTTGATACTAGAGAAAGAGAGAGAGAAAAGGCTGTGAAAAAGAGGGTGGGACAACGTTCTTGATTGTAACACCCAAGTATAAGAAGAAAGTTGATTTGAACTAGTATGAAACACAGTAATCTAGCTCGGAACTTAAAAACATCAAAAACAAAGCAAACACACAGGTATTAATATTCCTATAACTATTTTAATATCAAATGTGTGTGAAACAGTGTTTATGTGTGTGTGAGTGAGTGAGTGAGTGAGTGAGTGAGTGACAGAGACAGACAGATCAATTCCCACGACTAACTTTACATTATTTCCACTCGACGTCACTGGCGCTGCCATTCTGCTCTCATCTGAGGTAAAAAAAAATGTCCCGTGGTGCGCGTGCACGGTGCACTCCCCTAATCTGATACTGTGGGCGATATTTTCAGCGCCCCCAAACCATAAAATTTGACGGCGCTGATTGGCGAAATATAAACTTTTTTGCATAGCAACCGGGGAACCATTGGCTTAAATTCCAGCACTGTGGGGCTGAGCGAACTGGCGCCCTGAGAAGACAGCCTATTGGCTATACTACTACACCAACATGATAAAAGTAACGAAAGTGTATGCAAATATCATTCTGGTGAGTTCAAAACACTTTTAAAAGTAAAACCATTATTAGCATATAATTAACACAGATTATTTTTCAAAATGATAAATTATAATATATATTAAAAAAACAGACAAACAGGTCGGAGGGAGGGCGGCGCCCCAGCGCCCTCTATGGGCGAGCCGCCCCTGAAATACACGTATGACGGATCAAGCCATAAAGTTATGAGCCTGCTATGCTAAAGAGATCAGGGACAGGCCAGGATAATGTCAGACAGAATGGTCAGAGAAAAATTGACCTGTGATGTGAGGAGAACCAGTGGAGAACAGGACAGGTGCCTTTTAGGTGAGAGACGTGCTTATAGTATACACGTTCGCTTACATACACTGTGCTCACAATACTGTACAGATTCTATAACAGGCCAGCAGACATTAGTATGTTTAGGGTAGATTTATATACTATTAAATGTATAAAAACTTTACTTGAGTATATTTCTATACTAAAAGCATAGGCTATACTCGGGTAAATTTTTAATACATATTTTTCACCTTGGTTATAACATAAACAGAACATTAAAGGTTTGAGTATTTAAACAACCAATTTTGTTTTTCAATTACAAGTTTTATTTAGGGCATGACATGACTAGTTACCTATATAACACTATTTGATGCCATTGGTAGTATACCACGATCAATATTCTTGCTTCGGCATACCATGTTGAACTCCATCATATCGCCGGGATGCTAATCATTTGATCTGAAGTGAACGCTACACACGACCGCGTTTCCCGAGCCGATGCAGAGGAGAAATCCCGTCTCTTCACCTGCTCAACCCGCACCAGGAACGAAAGATAGGCTATATAGCACCGTCACTTTTATTGTAATGGAAACTTGTGGACTCGATCTTGAAGTCCTGACAGGCTGGAGTTTTTGCAATCTCCACAAACACAATAATTTACCATGACGATGATAAATTAAAATGCAAAAACTAACGATAGCACACTGACTGACGAGCGCTCTCACTGAACACCAGCCTGCTCTCACTGAGCCGAGGCTGCGGCTCCCTGATATGACGTCAAATGACGCGATGTTGAAAAAAAAGCCGTTTTTACTAGCAGTCCAAGAAACGCTCACTTTATCTTCTAAATTAGTGTCCTTATGTTGTTTTAAAACATTTTAAATCCTGCATTAACTTTTCATATGGTATTTTCATACAAGGTTATCTATAAATTTCGATTTTTTTTTTTTACCTGCAATATGCTCTTTAAGAACAGACTGGGTTAAATGTACTCCTAATGCACTGATACAGATTTTAGACCTGTTACTTTTCTTTAAAAAAAAAAAAAAATCGTATTCCCCTTCTTTATTTCAATTATCTCAGATACTGAGCCCCTGGATTTTAGCTGAGTGCAAAGTGGCCACACTTTTAAAGAAAAAAGAAAAGAAAAAATATAGTTTGTCAAATTCACTAAACATATTTAAAACTCGCATGTATTAAATCTCTAATTAATATCCTCATCAGGGTGAATTAGAGGAAGTGTGCGTCATCATATACCGTCCCCCTCCTCCGTTTGACTGTGAACAGGTTCCTCTCATCAGCAGGTGTCTGCTACACAGGCATCAATTAGAGTGTTTGCGGAGGCTAATAGGATGAAACTCAATCAGGGCTCTTAATTGCTCAACTATGTGAAAAAGAAATCACATTAATGCAGCTGATTAAGTGGATGGCAATAGATGCAACCTAATTAGTGAGGGGAAAAATACCTCATCCATGTTCACATCCATTATAAGCACAACTTTTTTTTTTTTTGCACATAACTATTGCACTGTTTTGTTAAACGTTACGCGATGCTTTAGCGCAGTACAGTTTGATAGATGAATCTATGCAGAGCATCAATTTTAAATGCACATCTGCCCCTGAAGTAGCCAGATGATGGTCTTTTCACCAACCGTTAACATTCGAGCACTCCAACTCTAAACGAAATCCCTCAAGTGGGTTGCCCGTCCTTTATTTTAAATCGAGAGTTACATATGGACCAGTCCCCAGAGTGTATGTCCTAGATGAAACACAATAACATACGTTCTTCAATAGAGCAGCTACGTGGAGTGTTTGGCCTTAATGAGCTGGGGCAAGGCTTTGAGAGGGAGCGTGTACCACCCGGAACTGCCATACATCAGCTGAGTGCCAATCAAATAACACAAAGACCTGAAGACTCTCTGTGTATGTGTGCTGTACTGAGCAATTTACGGCAAGAGCATAACATGTCCATCCCTCACTAGAGGCCAACAAAAGGGCAATTCAAAGCCAAGAGCTCTCAACACGGTTTAACAAGCCACAGGAGAGCCCTTCAGGATTGGCGGGCCAACAGCTTGCGGCTGGTAATTGCATCCCTATTAGCATTGAGTAACTTTCATCATCAACGCAAGCAAAGCCGCGCGCAAATCCAGACAACGCAGTTAGAATCCAAACACATGCTGCGATGGCAATGCTGTGATCTGTGGAAAAGGAAAAGGAAGATTTTACATGTGCTCTAAAAAGCATTAGCTGATTTTCTGCATACCAAAGTAAAGTGCATTTCTTCACCATGAATTTCAAACATGTCGATATTGATTTCTTCACCTCCAGAGGGTGGGAAGGATTAACTGTGCTGGACAAAATAAATTTAGTAGACACTTTTCATCCAAAGTGTCCAATGCTTTTGGAGTAATCTTTTTGTCATTTTTACCTTTAGGATTATATGCAGAATGTTCATGGGAAGGAGATCGACCTGCTTCGGACTACGGTGAAGGTTCCAGGGAAGAGGCCCCCCAGGGCCATCTCCACATGTGCGGCCCCCGGTCCCAAAACCAATGGGTTGACCAAGGACATGAGCAACCTGCAGCTTGGGCAGGCACCAGGTAACGTGATCATGCTCTTTTTGTTTTTTGTTTTGTTTTTTGCTTTGCTTTGCTTTTTGTTTTTATTTTGCTTTCCGCTTTGCTTAGTTTTATGATATATGTATGTCTATGGATGGATGGATGGATGGATGGATGGATAAAACAAAATGAGATAATATAATTTTTTTCTATTTAATATAGTGTATATATATATATATATATATATATATATATATATATATATATGAAGAGTTCAGATGCAAAAGCCTCTAAATGCCATTTAAAATTTTTCTTCTTTAATGATGATCTTTATCAAACTTGTATATTTAAGTTCAGTAATTTCACTTAAATGGCAATGATAATTACCTATTAATTGTTATTTAAGTGAAATTACTGAACTTAAATATACAAGTTTGATAAAATTCATCATTAAAGAAGAACATTTCAAATGGCATTTAGAGGCTTTTGCATCTGAACTCTTCATATATATACAGTGGTGTGAATAAGTGTTTGCCCCATGCTAAAGTTGCCTAAAAAGAGGAATAAAAAATCATCTTTTGGATATTAATCGTAATGCCTTAATTAGAAAAATGAGAAACTCCAACCTTTAAGGACACAAATTTTCTTTGTGAATGAATAATGTATCATAAATAAATAAATGTTTTTCCTTAAAATACAGGGTGCATAAGTCATTGCCCCCCTATGTTAATTCCCATAGAGTCAGGCAGATTTTTATTTTTAAAAGCCAGTTATTTCATGGATCCAGGATAATATGCATCCAGATAAAGTTCCCTTGGCCTTTGGAATTAAAATATCCCCACATCATCACACACCTTCCACCACACCTAGAGATTGGCATGGGGTACTTTCCATAAGACCATCTTTCAATGCAAATCAAACCAGCTATTAGGCTAACTGAAGTAAAACCAAGTAAAACTTGGTTAAAGTAAACCTGAAGTAAACCTGAAGTAAAACCTTAAAGGTTGGAGTTTTCCTCATTTTTCTAATTAAGACATTAAGATCAATATCCAAAAGATGTTTTTTTTATTCCTCTTTTTAGGCAACTTTAGCATGGGGGCAAACACTTATTCACACCACTGTATATATATATATATATATATATATATATATATATATTGCCCACCCTTCCAGATAATATGAGCATGCTTGATTTTTGTTTATATATATATATATATAATAATTTTATAATAGAATAAAATGTACACTGGCCATTCTTCCAGGGTGTTTTTCAGACTAAAGCCTGAGAAGCGACCATACATATGGTAAATGGATGTATGTATAATAAAATATATAAAATACATATTAAAAATGATATAATACATTTCCTTACATTGTAAGTAATGTAAGGAAACACTTGTTTTCCTAGAAAACAAATGTATTAATGTGTCTTAATGTCATTATAATGGGCCTCAGAAGTGCGCAGTCTTCATTAGTAGAGAATTAAACAATTAAGTTATTGTTTAGTTATTCGTATACACACTCATTGGATCAACAATCATTAAGCCCCCCAAGGAGTGTTAAAGACCCTTCTCAGGCACACACACACACACACACACACACACACACACACACAGAGCACCAGAAGGACCAAACTAATAGCATGAATATTCAGTGACCCATAATACATGTACTAATTATTGTCATGAATATTAATGCAATCAGCGCTCGTTCTCCAGTCAGGCAAGTCCGAAATGAACACTAATGAGAGGGAGCGAGGGAAGGAGGGAGGCTGCGGTAGAGGAGAAAAGAGAGATATTTCACAGCGTTAAGGCAGTGAAAGCTTTTGTAAGTCGAGTATTTGACTGTGGGGCTGGATCACATGCACCTCTTATTCCTTTGGTCTTAACATCTCCTTTTGTGAAAGCTCCCATTATCCACCAAATCCATTATAGCATATCTTCACACACTGCTGTTCTTGCACTGTGTGTGTGTGTGTGTGTGTGTGCGTAAACCCTGATACATGCATAGTGTTTATATTTTTTTTTCTTCCAGATGGCCTCGGATGTAAAAATGTAGTTTATCAGGCCTCTCCTGAGTACGCTCAGATCTTGCCATTTACCCAAAGGTGCTGCCGTCTGATTTATCCGCTACAATGGAGATTAAATTGAGTCATGACATTTCATTCAGTCGAGTTTGCAACGGGCCATTGGAGGCCCGTGGGTACACCTTTTTCCAACAACATATTAAAAACCAGAAAAGAACCCTTTTTTTGACTACATCAATTGTTTTGTGTGCACTGACTGTAGCTAGAGCAAATAACGAGTGGTATCATCACATCAGCGTTATTTACATTTTGTTCGCTGCTATTGGACAAACTGTCAAAGGGTTAGTTCACCCAGATATGAGAATTATTACTCGCCATCATGACGTTCCAAACCCGTAAAAACGCAATTTTTTTTTGGATGAAATCTGAGAGGTTTCTGTCCTTCCATAGACAGCCTAAGCAACTGCAGCTCAAACGTGCGGTGTAACCAATGAGGTTCGTTCTTGTGTTACGCAGCACGTTTGAGCTTCCGCAAGAGGTAAGTTCTCACGCAGACTGATCTCATGTGTGTGACACGCCAATTTGTATTTCCATTTATGAACGCCGTTGACTTAACGTTATTACTGTATATATAAATCTATGACTTACCTCAACCCCGTCCCTAAACCTGCCCGTCACATAGATGTACATTTTGCTTCATTTCGCTCGGACATTTGACGGCGTGTACAGACACGCGGAATGACGCGGACGTTAATGGCGTAGACATACACGCATACACGCGGATAGCTCAAAATGCGTCGACATAACACGCAACTTGACTCGAAAAGTCATGATGTCATGTTGTCTCACGTGTCATTTAGGTTTGGTTGAGCTTTTTTTTTATCAGTGATTATATCCAAGTAAAAGCCCAAATTAAATCTGTTTATCATAAAAAGTTTGGACAATTTGGACTAAACCACTCAATTCATATGGATTCGTTTTCCTATCTAGTGTGAACTTTTTGATGCGTCAAAGTTGCAGTTGCGTAGGCTGACAATGGAGGGACCGAAAGCTCTCAGATTTAATCAAAAAGATCTTCATTTGCGTTCCGAAGATCAACGAAAGTCTTAAGGGTTTGGAACGACATGAGGGTGAGTAATTAATGACAGAATGAATCGTTTTTGGGTGAACTATCCCTTTAAATTGTCAGAGTTGAATTTCATCTGTCGGTAAGCCCAGCAGCCTTATGGTTGATTGTGTTTGAGTCAGTATTTGCATGTCATATAATATCTTTCTCACATTTGTTTGTGCTCAGTTGTGCTGTAATCTTATTAGTGCGATTAGATATGACTTCCTATGATGTCCACTTTAATTTCCACGCGAGTCAGACAAACCTCTCGCACAGTTTAATGATGACTCACGGTGGTGATAATTAACCTTTAAGTAATCTGATGTCACTATTATGCTCCTTGACGAGAACAAATAAAGAAGTTTGGTGCATGTGTGTTAGTTATGCTTATTATTATTGTCGGACTCGTTACCAAAACTATTATGAAGGCAACAGCTAATTAGGGATGCCTCTACATTACACCTCTGATTGCAGTAAGATAATCTGTATTCTCTTGATGTGGGGGGCATTAAAATGACTTACTGTTTTGTTACCACAACAATGTGTACAGTGTACATGTACGATATAGAAAATAGATTTGCTAAATATTACATTTAATGGGGGATGATTCCCCCAAAAATGTAACCCATCATTTACACATTTACCCATGTCATCTCAAACCAAGACTTTCGTCCATCTTCGGGAACACAAATGAAGACATTGTGAAAGTAATCCAAACAAATTGAGCTGTTTAATCCAAGTCTTCTCAAGAAGACACTTTATATGATTAGCAGATTTAATTTAGGCTTTTATTCACATACAAAAATTGATAATTGAATTTTAATTTTGTTGAATGAAACTCTAGAATTATTAATTTTTTAAAATGAACAGTAAATGATGGTAAAGGTAATTACCATCCACAATTAAATGTCCAATATCAACCGATATTGCTGAATGTGAATAAATAAATAAAAAAATCTATTATCGGCTGATGCCTACTTATTGTACAAAAAAAAAATTCATTTTTTTTTCATTGAATTTTTACTTTTGATGAGTAACAACTCTATAAGTGCCTTGGGTATCTTATAACAATGGTGTATTAATTATCATGCGTCTCTCTCACAGGCTCTGTGACCAGTAGTTCCTCAGCGTCTCAGATGGCGAGTGGCATCAGTCTGGTGTCGTTTAACAGTCGGCCGGACGGGATGCATCAGCGCTCATATTCTGTATCCAGCGCTGACCAATGGAGTGATGCCACAGTCATCGCCAACTCAGGAATCAGCACGGGTAAGTGCCGGACATGTGATGCCGCCGCAAACTGCAGAGGGGGAGGGGGGCTTTTGGGTTGTGTACTTGTATACATGTTGTTTTCTTAAAGGTTTTTCTTCAGAACAGAGAACAGAACCTTAAACAGTGATTTGTTATCGTCTAGTTGTAAACGCACACATACACCCACTCCACCTTTCATTGATTCTTGTGTCAAGCTCTAATGCTGCTTTAACTGTTTATCAAAGTAATGGCCACTCAGGAGAAGCACATTACCAAAGGCCCATCTGTCGACGGCGAGTCGCTAGCAGAAGAGAAATGTTTGGAACATGATGTTTATCAGTCTGTCACCTTTCTGTTGTCATAGATAATTTCATACTTTGCTATTTTTATGAAATCTCTCCTGTCTGCAAAGCCACAGGGGGAAATGGGAACACACAGATGGAAGTCACAGTTGGACTGACAGCTGTCAGACAGCATGTGTATGTGTGCTGATGACATGGTGTGACTTGTTTTAGGCTTGTCGTTTGACCCTTGTCTGTAGTTGCCTCTGTGTTTATCCCTGATAACGATTAAAGCTGTGAAAAGCTTAAACGGGCGCATCAGCAGGACACTACACACACAGCTGAGCCACAGACCCCACACATGACGTCAGCAAAGGAACTTGTTGTATGGTACTCAAAATACATCAGTCGTGTACAGTCAAAAGTTTTGGATCGGTCAGGTTTTTATTGTTTTTAAAAGAAGTCTCTTCTGCTCACCAAGCCTGCGTTTATTTGATTAAAACGAAACAAAAACAGTAATATTGTTAAATATTATGACAATTTAAACAGCATCATTACTCCAGTCTTCAGTGTCACATAATCCTTCAGAAATCATTCTAATATGCGGATTTGATGCTCAAAAAACATTTGTGTACAATTTATTTTTTTTTTTCAGGATTCTTTGATGAATAGAAAAAGAAACCGCATTTACACTTCCTTTTACAGTCCCATTACATATGTACATACTATGTACTTATCATAGTAATTACAATTACTGGGTAATAACTAGGTACTAACCCTGAACCTACCCCTAACCCATATACTTACCTTATATTGGCCATTACTTTTTACACTGTAAGTACATGTACTGTAAGTACTGTACTGTAAAAGGAAGCGTTACCAATCTTTCTCCCTCTCTCAGGCCCGTAAATGAACACAGACTTGATGAATTACACTTTTAAAATGTATTATCAAATTGAAGATTGCTAAACTGCCAGCTTACCGGTGTTTTCAGAAATCTAATTTACATGATCAGTCAGGCCATATTTACTTCCAAATAGTAATTAATCCACACTGATTTCAAATCCATAGTGTAATCCAATGTAATGTAAATGTAAAGTATGGATTCAGTCAGACTTGGTAAGTAGAACGTACTGTTTCTATGCCTGTCACTTTGTGTGGAATAATTGTAAAAGAAATAGCTTTATAGTGCATTGTCAACATTTTCAGAGTTCAGCATTCTGCTTGCAGCAAAAATAGGTTTAACGGCAAAACACTTCAATCTCAATCTCAATTCTTGCACTACATAAATATATGAAAAATGTGGGGAAAAAAAACATTCTGAAAATTCTATTTTCACAAAGTGATCCCTTTAATGGTGTATAATACTTTCATAATTAATAATAAATTATTTTTGTGACAAAATGGTCATAGTTTTTAAAAGAACAAAACCGACAATATAAATATCCACTGTAGTGTGAACAAAATGAAATGGCATGTTTACATTTATTAACCAAAAGAACAAATTGTCTGCACACTTGAGTCCTTCAAGCCAAATTTAATGCCAAGCTTTCGGTGATACAACCATCCTCAGGGCATACACAAACAAAATGTTACCTTCCATTTGACTATGTTCAACTAGGACAATCAACAGTGATAACCCACACCTGCAGAGGCTAGGTAGGGACAGTTGTAGTCCACTGGTGGGAGTTGTAGTTTTTTAAGGTGATCAACCCTAACTTCACTTAAGTGAAGAAGTGAAAAAGTGAAAAATACAAGAAACAGACGTGAATATATACAAAAAGTATACACAAATATAGGTACATATACAAATATATCCACACTTTCATTCCTGCTTACAATATAAGTACATGGAGACTGCAAAAACATCAGAAACACCGTCATAAACTGCAGTATTCAAGACTTAAAGAAGGAACAAAAAATCAATACAGCTATGACTATGTTTACATTTATTAAAAGCAAGTAATCAAGAAACAAACAAAAACAAACAAGTGTTAATTTGATGAAATTCAAATAAATAATCCTCTCTTTCTCATTACTAAAAGCATATCTATTAGCCGTCTCTGTGCATATCACCATGTGTATCAGTGACTTTAGCAGTGGAGTTAGTGATTATCACTGCTTCAGTGATGTTCAGGAGTGATGTTCGGACACTGCGGCGCTCCGGAGGGCTCTGTTGTGAGGTTGTGTGAGTGCTCGTATCCTCCCCCCCAAGGAATCTCTTAAAAATAACCTTTCTGCTGGCTTAATGATGTGTCTGTCCACGGCCTGACTGGATCAGATCTGATGGCTGGATGACGGTAGTGCCGGACGCTGACTGCTTGTCACCTCTTGCCCCTAGGAGCTGGCGGGAATGAGATCTTGTCTTTCTCCTGAGAGAAATGGAAAGAGATAAGTGGTAGCAGAGCAATTAACTGACGTTCCTTGCACTGCACTTAGAGGGAGAGACTGTTGACTAACCTTTAACCTTTTGTTTTTGTTTAGCCTGGAAGCTTAAATAATTTTCTCAACTATTATTATTTCCTGCTTTTAGATTATTCTGATATGTGTTACTATCCACACATCAAACAGAATATTAAACACGTATATTGTCATAGAGTCCATTTCTGGTGGTCTATAAGTTTATTCATTTCCCACTATGTAGTTCTTGGAACTAAACAGAGACTTGAACTATAAATTCAAGATCATAAAAAGCCTTAAACAGGGCTGTACATTGACTTTATTTGCACATAACTCTAGTGCTGCAGAGGTTGAATGTTTTGTAGCGCGGGACGCTCAGGCCACACAATGGGCTTTATGCACAGCTGCACTACTTCCTGAACTTAATATAAAGGGATAGTTCATTTAGAAATTAATTTGTGCTATGTTTTAGCTTACCTCAAGGGGATCCAAGATGTAGGTGTCTTTGTTTCCACAGCATTTTCAATTTTGGCATTTTTTGGTCAAACCGTTGTTGTCTATCAGTCATACACTGGAGGTGAAGGGGGTCCTCAATCGGTTCACCTCAAAGAGCATACACAGAGAAGTCAAAATTAAACATGACTCGTACATGTAAGTACACATTGATGGTCTAAGACACGAAATGAGCGGTTTGTGTGAGAAAACGAACAGTATTTATATCGTTTTACCTCATGTAATCATAGCCATGACAAAAAAATCTGACGGCACGGGCGCTTCGGTCTCCGCATGCGGTTGAAGTGATCGCTTGCGCGCCTACGTCACTCTTTGTTTATACAGAGATTTCGGAAGTTTTACCTTTCACTAAACATATTTAGATATACGGGAAACCGCAATGGAAGACGATTTTGGTATATTTAAATATGTTTAGATAAAGTCAGAATATGTGTATAAAGTCAGAATTGAAAGGTAAAGATTAGCTTCTTTACCTTATGGTGACTTTATAATCTTTTAAGCATTTTAAAAGGTAATTGCAACTTTTTATCTCACAATTGCGAGTTTACATCTTGCAATTCTGACTTTCTCAGAATAGCGAGATATAAATTCAGAATTGCGTGATAAATTCAGAATTGCAAGATATAAAAATGTGGTCCCACTTTATATTAAGTGGCTTTAAATACCATATACTTACATTGAAATTAATAATTTGATACAATGGACTTATTGTGTACATACATATTTTTACATTGTACTTATATTTAAAAAATACCAGCATGTAATTACAGCCGTAATTAATTTATGTAATTACATCTGTAATTACACAGCTGACCCATCCCTTACACTTAAACCTACCCTTAAACCTACCCATACCACCACACCTGTCCCTAACCTTTCCTGTATCCCACCTCAATAGCACCAAAAGTGATTTACAATACAACATGAGCACAATAAGTACATTGTACTTATTTTTAAATGTAAGTACGTAGTACTTAAAGCCACTTAATATAAAGTGGGACCATGTAAAGCTAAACTATAAAAATTAACTCGCAATTCTGACATTTTTCACTTTTTTCCTCAATGGCGAATTTATATCTCACAGTTCTGACTTTATAACACAAAATTGCGACTTTATATCATGCTATTCTGACTTAAGTCAGAATTGTGAGATGTAAACTCGCAATTGTAAAAAAAAAAAAAAAACATTTATTTTATTGTTTTATATGTTTTATTCTGCGGCGGAAACAATGGAAGCTCAATGCCTTTCTAAAAAGCACAATGTGTTGTATTCAGGAGTTACCAGGGTAACTGCTATATTTGTGCTGTTCTATAAGTGCCACTTACTGTCAGAGAGTGAAGCTGCATTTATATTTGGCTGGTAGATCGAAAAGAAGCTAATGCATTCAAAAAAAAACTGAACAATTTGGATAGGATCATTTTATTTAAAAAAAATGTCTTTGTCAAAACCGGTTTCATTTGAACTGTAAAGTTGTTTAAATTGTCATTTTATGGTTTATATGTTACCATAGACGTTGCTCCTCACCCATATGGTAATAGTTTTATTTGTGCTGGTATTAAAAAGGTCTTACAAAGCTTTACATTTTTGCAGATGCCTGCAGAAACTTGTGCTTTTTATGCAAAATAAACTGAACCAAGCTGTTTTGACCTGAGATCATTTAGATATACAGATGCCTTTAAAGTGTAATTGTAAGAGAGGGTCAAAGTTGAAAAGAGTTGACACTCGGCTGTGTGCTGTCTGAATGAGTTGGACCTCATCAGAGCAGACTCGTTCTGACTGGACATGGCTGCCATTTGAGAAACTCAGCCTCAGTAATGAGCTCTTTTATTCCAGAAGAAACAAAGCCAAGTCCGTTTAAAGGAGATAAGATCCCCCTCCAGTGATCGTTCTCTCTGTGTCTTTTTGTCCCGCTCCACGTTGTCTTGAGGGCATGGGAAAGGCAGTGACATCCTTGTCTCTTTACCTGGAGCATCCTTTGCCCCAAGCAGACAGTTGTGCACAAAAATACCCCCTCGGTCCCTCCCTCCGTGGCTATTCCTGAGCCTCCCGCTCTCTCGCTTAAGCAGCAGAAGTAATGAGTGTCTGTTTGATTACATCTGCTGTGTTTAGGTGCTCTGGGGAACATGCTTTTGGTCCGACTTGCCTTAAGATAAATGCCTGGCCGTCCTGATGTCACGTCACCCAACTTGTTGAGTTATGCACCCGTTATTTTTTTTTTCTCCATAGGGATGTCCCTTCTCTTATCTGTTCCCTTTGACTGCCCTAAATGTTTTCTTGCTCTCTCTCACTCACTGCATCATACTCCTGGTTTACTTTTCTTTTTAGTTCTTTAGGGCTGTTTTGACTTGGCCCAGTAAGCAACCATGTAGAAACCACCAAGATTGAGCTAGTAATGGCCTACCAACAACCAAGAAAATGGATGTGTTTTTTTTTTTTGTCGCTTTCACATTGTTCCGGATAAAACTTTGAGCTTTGTAAGATTCTTAAAAGTCTCTTTTGCTCACCAAGGATGTATTTATTTGATTAAGAATACAGTTAAACCGTAATATTTTGAAATATTACCATTTTAAATTACTTTTTAAAATTCTAATTATGGCAAAGCTTGAAATTACATTATCATTACTCCAGTATTCAGTGTCACATGATCCTTCAGAAATCATTCTAATATGCTGATTTGGTGCTGAAGAAACATTTCTTATCATCAATGTTGAAAATAATTGTGCTGCTTTAATATTTTATATTTGTTTGAGATTCTTTGAAGGACATGTATTTGCATCCTTCTTCTAGATTTTTCCGTTTGGCTTTAACCTCCCCTACTGCACAGCATACAACAATAAATTATGATACATGCTACACCAGAAACACAAACTATCTATTATGCTTTCGAATTGTTTTTGACCAAATACATCATAAAATCACAGATGAGTAACAAATGTCAAGCTATATGCTTCACAATTTATAAGATATTAACTTTGTTTTTGCTCAAAACCCACTTCAAACCATCATCGAGTGCTTGTAATAACTAACGCTTGTGATCTAAAGTTCTTTCTGACCGTATAATGGATAGACATGTATTAGTTGTAGTGTTTATAATGGACTGAACGTTCCGCTACGCCTACTTAGCATTTCTCATGTAAACATATTTTAACTGAACTGCATGAAAACACAAACAGAACATATAACTTGGAAAGCAGCACTCTGTATGCTGTTTCAAGCTCATCATAATGCATAATTCAGGGGGAAATTAATAGAATTTATATACTGTATAAAGAACATGTGATAATAAATTAGTTCTCAGATACCAGTGATAACAAAAACTCAACATCCATTCTCTTATCTTTTAAAGAACACCTTTCTTGTGATTTTACACTGGTTTTCAAGATAGCACCACCAATCTGGACCAGCGGCTCCGGGCATGTGATCTCAAAGTCCCCTTGTAGTCAATCATTTTATCCCTTAAAACTCATCTATGATCACCAAAATGAATCATAGATCCATTTTAATTTCTTAAAAAAACAACAACAATCACTTAAAATAGCTTGAATGTAACTATACACCCTTGCCTCGTTTAGTGTACGCTGTTCTATGAATATGCAAATTAACCCCACCTCATCTCACTCACACCAGCTCAGAGATTTATTCGTTGATGTGATTGGTTACAAGGTAGTTTGTGACGTCTGAAAACACCAACGATTTCAAACTGTGTTTTTGAGGTTTACTAGTTTTAGGGAGAAAATAGGCTGCAATTGTGTTGACTGTGAAATGAACACTATGAATTTGCACATGGTTTGTCTTAAAGCACATTAAAAACACCACATGTGCATATAAACAACATTTTAAAAGCTTGATTTTCACCACAGGCGGACTTTAAGCTCAAATCTAATTGAATGGCCAGTTTCATCTAAAAAAAAAATCAACACACTGGTTGAAAAAAATATATTGAGCTTTGGCACACTTATTTTTTTGATAAAAGAGCGACATCGCGTTGTACAATCGCGTCGCTTTTGTAAACATGTGAGTGTATGAAATTTAATCAATTATTTTCAAAAAAAGTTTTTTAAATCTATTTAAGGTAATAAAAAAAAACATATAAATTAGTGGGGTTTTTTTCCATTATGGTGTTAGAGACTTTTACCCCCTATCTCAACAAAAATATCTAAATGGATTCAGAAATGAAAAAAACGCACTTATCATAGATGAGGTGTTTAATGTCTCTGCATAAATAATAGAAAATGAATTCCATGTCATTGATACTAAAAACACTATATCACAATGACCTGGCAGCCACCCAGGTTTGCTTACTAGTTTGTCGTTCTATATAAAAGATGACAGACATTTAGCCTTTGCCTTGAAGTGAATTTTTCCATGATAATATATGTGGTGTTTTGGTGTGTTTCCTCTTCACTCTAAAATAACAACATCTAGAAGCAAACTGTCTGTACTGAGTGTCTGCTAGATTTATACCAGACTAATAAATGACTTTTGAGAAAGCACTGGGCTTGAAAAGAAAAGTATGGAGGTAAAAGAGGTAGAAGGTGTATTTGACGTTGAAGTGTGTGTGTGTGTGTGTATGTGAGAGAGAGAGAGAGAGAGAGAGGGCTGGACAAAAGGGGCTGTTAGAACGAGGTGGTTAATTGTTCACTTTGGGATGGCATCTTGTCAGCAGAGATAAGTTGTCACGTTTTCCACTTGAGCTGAGACTAAACGATTGTAAAATAAGTTACGGCCGTCCTTGGGGCTGTGTGCTGATGCAGGGCGCTGGGAGCATGCTCAGTGCCAGCCTGAACACCCCCCTGGCCCCTCCCCACATCAGCTCTTTCACTCGGCCTGAAATTGATGTGAACTGAATGTTATTTTATTCTGCCGCTAGTCACAGCTGTCAGTGCCGCTTATGAAATGTGAAGCAGCCTCTCTGATAGCCTGAGCTGGAGGATCCAGCCAAACGCCAGTCAGAACTGGCCTCACGAACACGGGTGCTCGATCATTTAAACCAGAGGAGACACCAACGGAATGTTCTACACTAGAAATGGGTCCGTGAAAATGGGGCCCAATGTATGGTTAATTTTGAAGGAATTTTCTGTATTGATTTTACACAGGTGCTTTTCTGGATTTTGAATGACGCATTGCATTGTTTTAGGTTTAACCCTCTGCGTGTGTTTTTTTTGTGGTTTTTTTTGGACCCCGGGAATTGTGCCCGTTTCAGTTACTTATACCATTTTCTTGGCTACACTCTCAGAAAAAAAAGGTGCAAAAGCTGTCACTGGGGCTGTACCTTTTCAAAAAGTACACTTTTGGTACCTTATATACATATTGGTACCTTAGTGGTACATATTAGCACCTAAAATGTACATATTACCACCTAAAATGGACATATTAGCTCATGAAATTGACGTATTGGCACCTAAAATGTACATATTTCCACCTAAAATCTACATATTTCCACCTAAAATGTACATATTACCACCTAAAATGGACATATTAGCACCTAAAATTGACATTAACACTAAAAATGTACATATTAGCTCATGAAATGGACAAAAGTTTACCTTTTGAAAAGGTACAGCCCCAGTGACAGCTTTTGTACCTTTTTTTCTGAGTGTATAGTCTGATTTGTAAACTTAACAGAATATAAATAACTGTGAAATAATATCTATAGAAATATTCTATAGAAATATAAGCATTTCTGAGTTTTTCTATAGATTGTTCTTACAGTATGTATATGTGTGGCAGTTGCATTCTGAATAAATTAAGAATAGATTTTTTTATTTTTTTATTTTGAATAGACATCTGAACAAAATAACAGGGAATTTCCTTGAGGTTCTGACAAATGTTAATTTCTGCAGTCTATTTAAAATATTTCATTTGAATTATTTAAAAAAAAAATCAGTTTAAATGAATGATTCAATGACTCACTCAAAGACTTAGTTTAATTTCTGGATAAGTTTTGCGGTTTTGAATGAATGTATTGAATGAATGATTCAATGACAAATGCATTTTTTTCACCTTCTGGTGTAACAGATTTACTCCATTTTGATCACAACTGTAGAAATCATATTGTTTATATCCAAACTATAAACTTTTATCCCAGTAATCTGATCATTTGAGTTATTTTAACAGAAATTTTATACTGTGTGGTTTAAAAAAACTGCTCTCTGGGTCAGCGCCAACGCAGATTTAAATGTTCTGCTGTTATTGTACTTGTCGAGGGTTTAATAGACAACTGAATCATTGTCATTTAGGGATAAGGTCACATGGGTGTTTGAATGGAGATTGCGCTCTTTTAACGATGAATCGTGTAGCACTAGTGTGTGGTAAAATAGGGCTGAACGTCAGTCTCTCTCTCTCTCTGTGTGCAGATACCAGTATGGGAGAATCTGTGTGCTCCAGCCCTAGCATATCCAGTACCACCAGTCCAAAGATGGATCCGCCCCCATCGCCCCACGCCAACCGCAAAAAACACCGGAGAAAGAAGAGTACCAGTAACTTCAAGGTGGACGGCTTCTCTGGAACTGCAGAAGGTACATCCTGTCTCTGTCCCACACAGTCTGGTCTTTGGGTCTGCACATTCAGCCACGTTCCTGAGAACAGGAAATGGTCTTTAAACATTCTCCTGTATCTTTGGCTGAGCTTCTGCAGTGTCATTGATATTTTATAGGGGGGAGTCACATGAGGGTGAGTGTGCTTTGTGAGAAAACATTGCACAAAAGTCCACGCTGAAATATTTGGATTTTAAAAATCCATTTAAACCTGGAAAAACATGGAAAATTGTCAGGTCAATAATCAAATTAGCATTGGCAGGTCACAATTTTTACAGTACCTGTGAAGTTTAATAAGCAAAGACTGATTTGCATTGATGCACACTATTTGACTATTTAGCTTTTTTTAAGTGAAGTTAATCATTATAAATAAATATTAATTATTTAAATAAAGACATTAAATGCATGACATGCAGCCTTTTTGTTTAAGCATTGCTTGAAAACAAGTATAGACATGTGAAAAGTAATTGATAAAACCTTTGCAAGCAATCTTACGCAGTTATTGATGTTTTTCATTTTCTTACTGTAAAGCTTTATTAAAGCTCCTAAAACTATCCAGACAAGAACCGTGACCTTTATATTTGGTTTATTTTATTATGAAAGTATCAAGAAGTAAGTCACAGAGCTATTTTAATATAAAATTGTCGGTCCTCTATGTGCTTTTGACATCAATAAGATAAGTACACGTCATTTTTTAATTAGTAAAATTGAGCACATGAACTCTTTTCAAATCAACTTTCAGAAATCCAGCCTTTCTCTTTGAAACATTTCTTAAATCACACTGGATAACATCTTTAAAGTGGTCATGAACTGGCTTTTTAAATTTTATTATATTGTTGTCTGAGGTCAACTTATGACGTTCGCTTGGTTTTTGCATTCAAAAACATCAAAATGAATAAGTAATAGGCTATTTTCTACCCTAGTTTTGAGCCTAGCTCAAAAACGCTCGGTTTTATGGGCGTCTCGCACTGAAGACTTGGAAGTAAACGCCCAACAGTTTTGCATATTATAATGAGTTTCTAGTCACTCTTAACATTGCACATGGAGTGTTTTGAAAACCCAGACCCAGAGTCCGTGTGTTGCACCATTCTTGTCAGATCCAATATAGGTGGCACAGCACCGTTCTTTACTCTTAATCGCTCTGCAAATCCAGTCTTGTTTACAAGTGAAATGAAGCGAACAGACAGACAATGTTTTACCTCATCAGCTGGAACGTCAATTTATTAAAAATAAAGTTTAACCATTCGTTCCTATTGGAATCCAGAGGAAGCTTATGCAGTGACTGTCTTCTTCCACAACCACGCGCTGCACAATATTTCGTATTGCTCGGTAGCTGGATCCGGTTTGTCATCACGAGGTATGCCTCTATGTTATTTAGCTATGCGTGTAATGCGCGAATCGGTGGGCAGGGCTAAACCGGCCGTGTAAATGTAGGCGTTGATCTTCTGTTTTATCCTCTTTGACGTCATAGTTCCCCACTTTAAAAAACGAGTCGTTTGCTGAGGCTGGTGTCAATAAAAGCTTTTATTGGACTAGTGTTGTCAAAAAACTCGGTACTTCGGTACCAAGTCGGTACTAAAAAAAAAAAAATGTTACGGTACCAGCTTTTCTAGGTACCGAATACCAGGTTAATCCAGTTCTAGACGCGCTGTCTGAAAGGTGCACAGTTGCGTCCTCTTCATAACGCTGATATGGCTCTCTCTCTCTGAATCCACTTGTTGACACAAGGAGGAAAGAGCCACATATGGAAATATTTTGGATTAGGCTAATAATGTCACGTTGCCATAAGAGGCCGATTACATGCAAATTCGCAATTTCAAATATAGGCGCGAGGCAAGCGCGCTCATAATAAAAACTCGTTGCATAGCAACAACAGACGCCGCGTGAGAGCAAGCGCTTTGAAAAGAATAAGCACGCGCAAAAATATAATAAGAAAAAAGTGCTTTCGGGGTAATTTTACGAGTACATGAGCACAGTAGTATCCAACCGACACCAGAGTACTGGTATTAGTATCGATGCATCCCTATTTATGTCATTTAATGTCAGTGCCAGATCTAGGCGTATTCTTGCCTTTATAACTCAGCAGTTTTAAAAAGCCTTTTCAAAATTAAATATGAATGCAGTTTTAGATTAAATAAAAGTACAGTCAAATCAAATAAAACATGTTTTTTCTCCTGTAGCCTATAGTTTGGTAATGCTACAATAAGATACCATTTATCAACATTAGCTACTTCACATCAACACATTGAGTGAACAATATATTTTTACAACATTAATTAATGTTTGTAAATGTTATTTAATAGAAACACTTGATTGTTCATGTTTGTTCACTTCATTCAATGTGCATTAAATAAATGTTAACGGATTAGAACTTTACAAACAACTTTAAAAATGTGTTAGTGTATTGTTTATTTTAGGTCATTTTATCTAATTTTTTTCTAAAGTGTTTATAATACAAATGTACAGTTTCCATACTTGTAACCGTGATAAACACTTAAATATATGTAAATTTAAACTAAGCTTTGGTACCGAAATTGGTACCGAGAACCGTGAATTTTTACTGGTATTGGTACCGAATACTGAAATTTTGGTACCGTGACAACACTATATTGGACTAACAAGGATGTTTTCAGTTCTTAAACTTACAGGATATTCTTATAATATGATGACCATCGCTCAAGGAAAATTTGATTTCTCAGTTCATCACCCCTTTAATTTTACTAAACATTTTGAGATCATGCCATTTGATTACTGCTGTCATAAAAGCAAAACGGGGACAAACCAAGTTAATTCTTGTACTTTTTCGTTCAAGTACAGAATTAATAACAATTCACATGCGGAGTTTGTGCCATATATAGATTCAGTACTTTTCATTAGAATCAAAGAAGCCTGCCCATATACCATCATGTGTAAAAGCACATATGCCGCATACACTGCTGCTGCCGCACACACACAAACGCAAGTTGCGGTCGAACAGATGTTTCTGAGCAGCAGATGTGTAATATGTTTCCTGCCGTCAGTATGGATCAGACAGCTGACAGGCCTGCGTGGAGCAAGAGAAATATACTGAGTGATTATTACAATCTCACACAGACAAGCCGGTTAAACGCCGTCTGTCACTCACACACGCACAGACTCCACTCATCACTGCAGCCACCATTGTGACACAGTGGATATATATTTGTATTTATTTTGCCAGTGATTAAGTGATTTAATTAACATTTTAATTAACTACACTTAAAGTGTTGTTTGTACTAAACTTTGCTAGAGGCCTACATAGGTTCACATGTGTATGTAGTTCAACAGTTTACAAAATGATCTAATACATTTTACCCAAAGTTACAGTAACACTACCATTCAGCAGTTTGGGGTTTGTATGTTGTTGTTTTTTTTTCCTAAAGAAATTAATAATTTTTATTCAGCAAGGATGCATTAAATTGATTATAAATGACGGTAAAGATTTTTACATTGTTACAGAAAAAAATCTGTTTTTTATTAAATGCTGTTCAGTTGAACTTTATCAAATAATCCACACAAAAAAAAAATGTAATCAGCACTGCCATCACAGGAATAAATTATAAGATGTATAAAAATAGAAAACCGTTTTTTTGTAAATCGTAATAATATTTTATTAATATTTAATTAAATCACTACATTGAAATATACAGAATATTTACAAACAAAAGTGTCTAATGCAAAACTTTGTAAACTTTTTAAAAAAGATTTAGATATTTAAATTAACCTAAAAAAATTGCTAGATCACAATATATTTAGGAATCGAATTGTATGCCTCGTTACATTTTCAAAAACTTGATCGTGAATGTTTTTCTACACTTAATGCGAATGTGTTCTCAGTTTACTGTAAGCAGTTTATAACCTCTTGTCAGGGTGAGAATTCAGTTCTGATGTGTTATAAGGTCATCTGTATATGTGTGTGTGAGAGACAGTGAGCATGTAGGAATGATGGATGAGTGTGTGTCAGCTCAGAGAGTGTGTGATTAATTAGACTGGGCTTGTGTGGGTGGCCACGGCCTCTTGAGAGCGGAGCATCAGTGCTTGTTTAAAATGTTCCATATCAACCCTTATTGATCCTCTCCCAAAGGAGGCCAATATATTGTCAGTGAGGAAAGAGTGTGTGTGTGTGTGTGTGTGTATCCATGTGTCATGTGCTACAGTATTTGCTTCAGAATTAAATGTAAACGTATATATATATGCATTCAGATGCTCTCAACTATAGGGGTTGTGACCCATACATGGGCCACAGGCCTGTTCAGATTGTGGACAGAACAGAAAAGCAATGTTAAGTCCAAATAACAAAATGATACTCGTCTTTTTATTGTGCATTGGTAAAATTGCTAAATTAAATATGCATCAGACAGTATTTGAGTGCAAATTCAGGTGGAAAAAGCAATTAAAATTAGACATGCTAACATGAATAGGTTTCAAACTATGTAAATAAAAGGAAACAAAACTGGCCAGGCTATAAACTAATTACAATGATAATTTGAAGTGTCTCCACAATGTGTTTTGTTTTGAATGAGTATATTATAATTTGTAAAAAAAAAAAAAAAAAAAAAAATATTATTAAATAAATTATTAAATTGATTACACTACCACTCAAAAGTTTGGGGTCTTTTGATTTTCTATTTTTCAAAGATTCACAGTTTCCACCAAAAGCATTGCATTACAATTAAAATCCAACTGTTTTCAACATTTTTAATAATAATAAATGTTTCTTGAGCACCAAAATTAGCATATTAGAATGATTTGTGAAGGATCATGTGGCAATGAAGACTAGAGTAATGGCTGCTGAAAATTCACAGGAATAAATGTTTAAAAATATATTTAAAAAGATAACAACTATTTTTAGCTGTAGGCCTAATAATATTTCAAAATGTTAATGTTTTGCTCTTAATTATTTTTTCTTAAATAAATATAGCCTTGGTGGGCAAAAGAGACTTCTTACAAAAACATTATTAAAA